AGGTTTTAATGGGATTTCTTGATAACAAACCATATAAAACCACAATTATTGTTTAAGGAAAAGCCCATTTTTTCCCCTTTTTTCTTTGAGAAGAAAATGCTTATTCTTGGTTTATTCTTCCCTCATTTGTAGACCCATGATGTTGTAGCAATGCGAACTGCTGTCCTACGTTGTCTTCCAGTATTTCTCGGGGATGATGGCAGTGATTTTTTTTAAAGTCTTTGTTGTAAGTATTACATAAAAGGTTTAGGTTTTACCGATGAAGGTCTTTGCAAGGATAAATTTAACCTTAAATTAAACCTTATATTTAAAACCTTTATTTTTGTCTGCAGGATTCAGATGCACTCACAGATATCGCCCAGATTCCTGTTGGGATATTGACTGTTGTGCCTGAAGACAGCCAGCAACCAGATCCAAATGCCCTGCACCTTGAGCCATTCAGCATTGGCATCATACTGGAAAGTAGCATCGTTATGGATAACATTGAAAGCCACGCTCAAGCTATTTGCCTGACTTTTGGACTGATTTACAACCTTCATTTGGACTATCCCAAAAGACCAAAGAACACCTTTGACTTCATTCAGAGGGTGATGCTGAACCTGGGAGTAGGTAAACTGAGCCCAAAACTTCAGAGCTTGAAAAATGCACTTTTGCAGTAGGCAGCAGGTATGTACGGCTGGCATATTTAGATAGCAGATTCCTAGATACTTGATTGGACTGTTCAGTGTTTTACATATTTACAACTTAAAGCCACAGTGTGATTCTTACTGACATTTACAGTCAGTCAGATTTTGATTGTCTTATGTTTCATTTGAGTGATACAGGTTGAATGTTCAAGGCCATCCTTGAACCTAAATTAGCTTTAAGTTTAAGTAAAAACTTTTAGTTTAGTGTTATAATTAATTTCATCTCTTCTGGAAATGGAGAAACAGACCTTGATGCCTACTTTCTGAGTTTTTTGTTTGTGGGACACACTACTCTTAAAGTGTTAAAATTATTTGAAGCCTAAGTAAAAAGTAGATGGATTTCTATTCTCTTTTCAAATAGAAAGAGCACTGTGCATTGTGTCATAGTATAAATGTACTACCTTAATGTTTTAATGAAGAAGAAAAGAGAGATTTTTGCTAAATTTGCTAAATTCTCTTCAAAGTTCAGATGGTCACAGCTTTGCTGTCTGGTTACTATAGTTGTTAGGTTCTGAAGTAGTTGGACTTGAGTATGCAGTTCGTTGAAATGCAGTTAAATTTCAGGATCATCAGGAGTCATCAATGTTATCAGCCGCCTTTTAGTTTTTGTTTAGCACTTATAGCTAAGCTAGTGGAAACGTTGAGCTTAGTTAAATGCATTAAACATCGCTGAACATTTGTTTCTGTTACATAAACTGTGCCAAATGAGCCATTCATTAGCAAAGTCAGGAACAAAGATTAAGACTAAGGCTTAGATTAAAACTTTTGTTTTAAGACTTTTAAAATACTTCAGTTGTCTTAAATGTGGATGTTTTGTTTGTAAAATTGTATGTGTTTCCACAAACACTTTAGGCTGAGGTGTGCAGAATGGAAAAAAATAAAAAAGTACTGCTGACTTACAATTCTTTGTTATGCTTACTTTATTTTTCTAAGGCAATCGGTTTCCTAAATCCTATTAAGTAAACAGGACTCTTTTGTCAAGTCAAATTAACTTGGGCTATATAAGTTGCCAACACTTAGGAATGACAATTTACATTTACATGCTTTTTTAAAGTAGGAACAACTCAACTAAACTGAGTAAATACAACGTTGTATTAAGTATACTTAAGTAGTAGACATAAAGGAAACGTAACTTGAAAATAATAGTTATATTTACTTAAAATTTTCAAGGCAACCGGTTTCCTCGATTCCTTTAAGTAAGATCAACTTCTCAAATTTTACAGTGCAAGAGTTTTGAACAACAATCCTGTTGGACTGCTTTATGCAGAGAGGTTGTAAAGAAAACTGTATTAAATATTCATATAAACAGCTTTTTATGATACAGTATCTTCTGCACAACATGTAGTCTCTTATCACGAGAGCTTTTTGTCAGACTCTGTGAAAAGATTATACAGACCAATTGGAGAAGTTTTTTTAGTCCTCCCAGGATTAGTTTCAAAAGAACCTCTACGCTACATTTAAGTATATAATTAAAAAAAGTGTCCAGACACTTTCTTGATGCACACAACAGTGATCCAGAAGGTCTTGTGTTTGAAGGCCTAGAAACTATTGAAAAGCAGATTTGGGGTGGAGAAACCATTTGTGTGGCATTCGATATGATAGAGCACACTATCCTACTAGACAAACTAGAAGAGCTTGTAGGAGTCACAGGAATAGTTTGTTCTTGATTTAGATCTTAGCTGACTGATCACTATCAGGTTGTAAATGTTGAATCATCTGTACATACAAAAGTATAATATGGTGTTCCACAAGGCTCTGTTTTAGGACCTCTATTATTCGCATGATATTGCAGTATATTGCAGTACACAAATGTATATATCAGCCAAACCTGATGATACATTTCAACTTAATAAGATTGAGGACTGTGAAAAACACAAAAAGCAGTGGATAGTCCACGTTGAGTAGGATCCTCCAAAAGCAGAGTAAAAAACATTCTTTTTCTTTGTCCAAAATCTACTAGAAACAAACTGTATGATTTTAACACTAAATCTTGACAGCTTCTCAGTTGCATCAGGTACATTTGTGAAAAACCTTGGTGTAACAGTAGATCCTGATCTGTCCTTTGGTGCATATATAAGCAATATTACCAGAATAGCTTTCCTTCATCATCAAAATACTGCTGAATCAATAAATACATTAAACATACAGGCTGCGGGGAAAAACTAGCTAATGCCTCAAGGTTGGATAATTGTGATGCCCTGTTGTTTGGACGTTCCAGTAAAAACCTACATAAGCTTGAGATAGTCCTTAATGCTGCAGCCAGAGTCCTTAAAAGAACTAGAAAGTAGTCTAGTTTTATCTGCATTACTTTGGCTGCAAGTTAAATTCCACACTGAACACAAAATTCCTTTATTAACACGTAAAGCTCTAAGCAGCCTCACCGCTCAGTACCTGAGTGAACTTATCTCTTATTATGAACCATCACACCTACTTAGATCACAAGGTGCTGGCTTACTATTAATACCCAGAATTAAGAAATTTACATCAGGTGGTAGAGCCGTTTCATACAAAGCCCCCCAACTTTGGAATAACCTTCCAGTCAGTGCTCAGGACTCAGACACAGCCTCAGTCTTTAAGTCTAGGCTAAAACCTATGTATTTAGTCAAGTCTTTGGTAATTAGCTTTGACATTTTAAAGCAACAATCTAAAAAACTGGCTCCAACAAAATTCTTTGGCAGCCTCTGAACTTTTTGTTCATAGCAGCATTTCGTTCCTATTTTAAGTATCACTCAAAATATGGAGGAGAAGCTTATAAACTTGTAAACTTATATCCACAGTTCATAAGTTAACCAAAATGGCAATTCATACATAGAACACATCAACAGTGTACACACCCTCACACAACAAGAGTAGCCTCAAAAGAGGCAAGAGGCAAACTTCAGGTAACAGTCAGCGACTCGTCACCTCCTAATGTGAATGTACGGTGACAGTAGACAGTGACAGTAACACTGACTGTAACAGTAACACTGTAACTAGTCAGTAACTGAATCTAGTTCTCATTTGTTGCTCTGATAGGACTCTAACAGTAGTCATTATTTATTACTGATTAAACTAAATACTTCTGTTCATTGACAGGCTGATTTCTTTTTCTATATTCACGATCATAAATTATCTGTCATCTTAATTTTTATTCATTTTGCTCTTGTATTATTGTTTTGCTGTCCAGTGTCGACCAGAGGAGGATGGGTTTACTCTTCTTGAGTCTTGGTTCCTCTCAAGGTTTCTTTTTTTTTTGCTCTTAGGCAGTTTTTTCTTGCCATTGTTGCCTTTGGCGACTCTCATTTGGAGCTTTGACTCAGATTTTCTGTAAACCTGCTTTGTAACAACATCTGCTGTAAAAAGTGCTACACAAGTAAACCTTGATGTGACCTGCAGCTAGCAGGCTAATGGCTAATACTTACCATTTTTAGCTCTCTCCAGACGATCTTTAGTCAAAGCACAACTCTTATTCTGTATTAAACTGAATAGGGTTTCAGCTCAGTTTGAGAATGGCTCCCTGACTGAGCCTGATTATTTGTGGACAGTCGCCATCATTTACTGTATATTTTGTGAGCCATACATCATAGGCGTGTCTCAGATGACTGTTTTGATGGCCAGTGTTCATGAAAAACCTGAAAAACGGTGGGAGTGGCCTCTTGATGTCACTCAGGTGAAACAAAAGTCAACGGACTCATAACCAGAATCCAGTTCATTGAGCAGGACACAGTCTCCAGTGCGAAGCTTCTCCAGTGTTTCTTAAAAGGAGCTAAATTACTGCAGGTAAAAACTAAAAGAATAAGATCCAGAATATGTGCAACTGGTATCCCTCTCTAAATTTTATTTTACTGTAGTGTTACTTCTGAAAATACTTCTTCTGTTTCAGATCATTTTTATCACTGTATGTTTGTTTCATTAGCTTTTATCAAAATATTCAGAATTGTTTTAGGATATGGAACATTTATTTTATATATTTTAATCTTACCAGTTCAAGGTTTTGATATTTTTGACAGATTTTGGGTTCTTAAGTGAATGTATTCATCAGAGTCAGGGTGAAGAACAGGTACTAGAACATGTGAAACAGGTTGATCTGCTAAACGCCATTTGTTATCACATCTGCATTCCATATGTCTTTTTTAGACCATTTGTCTATGAGACAAATGGGCTACTTCCAGGCCACAGCTCTGCAGGGATTAATGTTTCCTGAACTCTGGAACACTGGAGTCTGACAGCTGTGGACTAGATGTATTATTACTTGTTTTAAAATTAGTATCTAATAATCTTGAATCAAAATGTAGGATGTTTTCTATGGTATAAACAGCGGCCTTGCTGTTCCTCATGACCTTGCTGTGTCTCTTCCTGTCAGTCATGGCTTCCTCCAGCAGTCTCCTGTCTGAAGATCAGCTCCAGTGCTCTATCTGTCTGGATGTGTTCACTGATCCAGTCACGACTCCATGTGGACACAACTTCTGCATGGTCTGTCTCAAAGAGTGCTGGGACAGCAGTTCACGCTGCCAGTGTCCAGTTTGTAAGACAGATTTCTCCAAAAGGCCTGATCTGTGTGTGAACACGTTCATCTCTGGACTGGCTGCTCAGTTCAAGAAGTCAGATCAGGTGAAATCCAGAAGAACCCCAAATAAACCCTCCAGCTCTCAGGTGCTCTGTGACATCTGCAGTGGAAAGAAGAGTCCAGCTCTGAAGTCCTGTCTGATCTGTATGACCTCTTACTGCGAGACTCACCTGGAGCCTCATCAGAGAGTTCCTGCCTTCAAAAGCCACAAAATTATTAACGCTGTGGAGAACCTGGAGGACTATAACTGCCAGAAACATGGGAGACCCCTGGAGCTGTTCTGTAGAGACGACCAGACGAGTGTGTGTCAGTTCTGCACTGAGACAGACCACAAGACTCACAGCACTGTTCCTATAGAGGAGGAGAGTGGAGAGAAGAAGGTGAGGAATATTTTGACAGATAATAATTAATCTCATGTTTTTGCACAAGAAAAGTCCTAAGTAATTGTGTTGTTGTGACTTGTCTGTTTGTCATAGACTCGGCTGGTAAAGACACAGGCAAAAGTTCAGCGGATGATCCAAAACCGACTGAAGAAGATTGAGGAAATCAAACACTCTGTAAAACTCAATAAAGTGAGTGTAAACAGTGACCTGAACTGTAGTCACTACTTTCATTCAGTTATAATACACTTTCTAGACTTAAACTGATTTAAATTAAAAAATTAATGCAAGTTAATGGCCTCCTGTTAGAAAAACACAGAGAAGGAGAAAGCAGACAGGGTGGAGGTCTTCAGAGCTCTGCTGCGCTGCATTGAGAGAAGCCAGGCGGAGCTGCTTGAGGTGATGGAGGAGAAGCAGAAAGCAGCAGAGAGGCAGGCTGAAGAGTTCATTAAAGAGCTGGAGCAGGAAATCACTGAGCTAAAGAGGAGAGACACTGAGCTGGAGCAGCTCTCCCACACTGAGGACCACCTCCACCTCCTACAGGTCAGAGTCCCTCTGTTTCTCAATAGTAATGCAGTCCATCACAGGACAGCACTCCCCATGCTGAGGGGTTTCTCCTCTCTCCTGCTGGACTGTAGGTTTACCCGTCCCTCTGCAGCCGTCCACACACCAAGAACTGGACTGACGTCAGGATTAACACTCATCTGAGGGTGGAGACTCTGAGGAGAGCTCTGACTCAGCTTCAGGAAGAGCTCAGTAAGGAGATGGAGAGGGTTGTGGAGATTGGTGAGTATCTACTGATCAGCAAGCGATTATCATCAGAAATCTTATAACATTAATGAATGTTTTATAAATGGTTAATTTAAGTGATTTATTCTGGATAATTCTATGAAAACTCTACTCCATGAAAATCACTATATTCAGGGTCTTTCACTGTGAATGTTACAGTGCTGTTTTATAGTTTATCTGAAAGAATAAAATCAGGCACAATTATAACTCTAATAGTAAATGATGATCATTATTCTTTTTCAAACAGAAATAAGAGAATTCAGCAACATGCAGGTCTGTGAGTTCTCTCTGCTGAAATACATAAACATGGTTTGTCTTTGTTGTTGTTGTTGTTGTTGTATGTGGTAGATTATTAAAATTAATTTAAAGTGTTTTCTCTCTCAGTTGATGTGACTCTGGATCCTGATTCAGCTCATCCTGCTCTCGTTCTGTCTGATGATGGTAAACAGGTCACATGTGGAGACACAGAACAGAATCTTCCTGAAAAACCAGAGAGGTTTGATCGTTGTGTCTGTGTTCTGGGAAAGGAGGGGTTCTCCTCAGGGAGATTTTACTATGAGGTTCAGGTCAGTGGGAAGACTAAGTGGGCAATAGGAGTGTCCAGAGAGTCCATTAACAGGAAGGGGTTGATTACACTGAGTCCTGAGGATGGATACTGGACTGTGTGGCTGAGAAATGAGTCTGAATATGAGGCTCTGGACTCTCCTTCTGTCCCCCTCTCCTTGAAACAGGCTCCCCAGAAGGTGGGGGTGTTTGTGGATTATGAGGAGGGTCTGGTCTCCTTCTATGATGTTGAGGCCAGGTCTCATATCTACTCTTTCACTGGTCAGTCTTTCACTGAGAAACTCTATCCATATTTCAGTCCCTGCCCCAATGATGGAGGTAAAAACTCAGCACCGCTGATCATCACACCTGTTGATCATGATAAATGAGGCTCTTTTACCTCATAAAATCACTTTAATCCAGAATAACGACTTCTTCTGACAAACACCTCCAACTTTTTAATCATGTGTATAGAATGTAGAGAAGCTGATTTTATGCTAAAATGGCGTCACAGTAGTGTTCATCATTAGAAAATGAGCAGAGTTTATCTGTACAAACCTGCATTTTTATACAGCTGAGATGTTTGTAGACCAAACTGAGCTGAGAGGAGATGAAGATACTGAGTGAGAACATCTGCTTCTTCTTCCAGACAGAATAAAGTCTCAAATAAATAAACCTACTGTGTCTTTCAGTACTAAGAAGACTGAACCTGAGATGCGACGTTAAAGAAGAGTAATGTTACTAAGCATCTACAGTAAGTTTAGATGGTTCACCTGCACAGAGCAGAACTGCATATACACTGTATAAGAACACAGCTACACTAATGCTGTTTCTATGATGGAGTTCTACTGAATTTGGTGGAGATAATGAGAGATTTTAGGGCATCGTAATAAAGCAGGTGGAGGTTCCAGCCTGGGCTGCACTTTCCTTCTGTCCTACAAACACTGTGGAGCTTCTGGGAGAGTGAGATCCATCATGAAGAGGATCAAGGGTTTCTAGCGTCAGTGTACATGACTTCAGTGAGTTTGAACTGATTTAGCTCTTTTATTTAGCTTATTTTAGCAATGAGGCTTGTAAAGCTTTGGTAATGTCTTCACTGTGTTTGTAGAGCACAAGTACAGTGAAGAGTGGTTTCCATACAAATCCATGGTTATTAGTGATGTTTCTATCAGAGATTTAATGCTGATTCATCATAAGCTTTTGCCTGTTCTACATAAATAAATGACAGATCCTGATTCAGTCTTATCTTTTACATTTCCTGTCTCTAGTCGTGTTGTTACTTTTCCCACTTGTGTACAGTTTCTAACCCCTCCTTCTCAGGTGGTTCTGGTCCTGTATGCTTGTATAAGTAGCCCTCATGTTGCTCTGCCAAGTCGTATCCATTGTGTGTAAATTTGTACGTCTCCATCTTCGTTTCCTTGTGTTTTTTGATTGTCCTTGTGTTTAAATAAGACAGCTTGGATGCACTTCCTGCCTCAGCTCCTCTTCAATCTTCACAGCTGGTAAAGTTCAGGATTTAAGCCTGAAACTCCTCCATTTTCTCAAGTGTCCAGTTCAGGGTCTGAGCCTCAGGCCTTGTAGGAGTTTCCTCAGGCCTGTGAGAGAGAAGCTGCTCTGTGGGAGTTTCAGTCTCCCTCAGACCTCATTTTCCTAGAAGATCTACATCATATTGACCGTCATGACACAGAGCAGTGATCAGAGAGACGCTCACTGTGCTGCACTGTCATGATCAGTTAGTGGTAAAGTGTCAGTAATGAGGTTTGCCTGTCTTTTCTGAACAACTTCTGTGATGCGTCTAATGGAGCCGCCTCAAATAAAGCTCACTTTAGTGTAGAAACTGCCAGTATTGAGTTAAACCTGCCAGTGTCTGAGTGAAATATCCATCTGCACACTGTCCATGGGCTTTAAGTGACTGACTACATAAGTTACTCTGAAGAACAGGCACTAAACCACACAAGCTAGGAAAAGAGTCTGTGAACAAAACAGAAGGTAGGATATCAGAGTCATTACGGCTCTTTGTTTAGGAGCATGTGTGGATCCACACTGTCAGTAAGGCTGATTTTATCATATAACACTGTTTGGCCTCCATCTGGAGGAGGTTATGATAGACACCCTTCTTCTTTGATTCACTGTTAAGAACAATCACAACAGAACATCATCAGTTCATCCTCTTGCAGTGAGTTTGGATATTTGCATATAAATAAAGAATGAGCACCGCCAATATAGCAGTACAGTCCCATAATGCAGTGCGATGTGAAGTCGATTTCCAAGCCCTGGTGCAGCAAAGAAATATGATGGCGTTTTATGGCCAATAAGGGTTAATAAAAATAAAAATAGCAGACTTCGAGAAAAAAGTTGTAAAATTTCGAGAAAAAAGTTGTAGAATTACAATATTAAAGTGTCATTAATACCAGGAAAGGTCTCAATATTGTGGCCAAAGGCTTCGCAAAGGGAAGCAGCACCTCCTGGTGGAGTTAGACTTTCATGTCGATTCACCCATAAAGAAACACTCAGCCTCCCTGTCTGTCCTGCACATCAGCACCAGCCTGTTATAGTATAAGAACCAGCTGAGCAGGAAACCGTGTTTATCTAGAATAAAGAGCCGGACGGACTCGGAGGAAACTGTCTGTCTGTGTTGTTGAAGGAGAACCTCAGGCAGGGTCGTCTACACGGCTATTGGGGGCTACATCTCCCCCCATTCAAAGAGGGCATGAAGTTTCACAGACAGTGAGAATGATGATCAAAATGATCCACAGAGAGACAGGAGTGAGTGGAGCTCCGGTGCCAGTACAGCAACCAAGACCCCAATGCGTTATGGCAGCCCCCTACAGTTAGCCCCCCTACAGTTAGACCACTTTATCCTCCAAATATTACGACTTTATTCTCAAAATATTACGACTTTATTCTCGAAGTCTACTGTTTTTATTAACAGTGGCTCTAAAACACCGTCGTAAATAACTCCTCTCCCTGTCAGGCTCTGATTCTGAGCTGGATCTTCAGGGTAAGAGCTTCACTGCCATTTTAGGAGATCACTCTGCTGCCCTCTGGTGGTCTGTTTGATTATTGTCTGAGCAGTGAAGATCAAAATATGTGGGACACAATATGAAAAACACAACATATTGATCAAGAACAGCAAAGAGAGCCTGGAAACCTGCACCAGAACGCTGTGATGTATCAGATGAAGAAGGAAATGTGGTGAACATTGCGCTTTAGAATAATGCTCTTCATTGAATACAGCAATAGTGGAGAACCACCCAGCGCTGACTGACACAGTCGGGAAGCAGGCAGGGAAGTTCTAGACATACATTTTCCATTCCTGGTAGATAAACAGACCCACCTAACTTCACCACAGCCCAGCACAATAAGGCACAATACATAAACACACCTTTAAGCCAACAACACAACTTATTTACAACATAAAAGTCTCTCGATTATCAGGAGCAGCACCTACCAAGAACCCAAGCGCATGGCCACTCTGCATGGTCACCCCTTCCATGCGTCCAAGGCTGAACGAGCCAGTAGTGGGAGCTACAACACTACAATTAAATTACTTGATTAAAATTCTATGTTCCTTTAAAAATGTGCTGAAGTGATTCTATTCTGGAAATATCTACAAAAACATTTATAATAAACTTCATGAAAAATCTGGCAGCGTTTTGCAGAAACATCTGCTTACTTTACTTTATTCTTTAAAACATTTGTTTTCAGATCTTTTTACAGTTCAAGGATAAAATTCTCAACACCAGAAACTCAGAAAACCAATAAAAAGGTTCTGATATGGTAGAAAAGTGGTTCTAATGAGGTTCTACATTAAACACAGCACTGTAAGTCAGATATGTTACTAGATGGTGGAATAAGTTTGGTGTTTTTGGACATGAAGAGATGAGCTGGGATTCTGTTGGTGAATGTCTTCCACCTGGTGGACAAACCTTGCAAGTGCAACAGACTGTCATCAGGAAATGGTGGGCGTGGCCTCATGGAGTCACTGTGGAGAAACGAAAGTAGTGAGAACTGTATTATAAACACAGTCCAGTTACTGCAGCTGGACTCGGCATCCAGCTTGAAGCTTCTCCAGACGTTCTTAGAGGATCTACCACCACTGCAGGTGAGAGAACCTCTACAGGAAGCAGGAGGAAGTAGCCAGAAAGGAGAAACTGGAGTCACTGCTGAGACTTTCTGCTGTATTTAGCTCGTTTCTGTCATTGACTTGTTTAGTTGTGTGTGTTATTGAGTTGAATTGAGCACAAAGAACAGGTTCTAGAGTAGAACAGCACAGCTGGAATATGAAGCAGATTTAATGTGATGGTGATTATTAGAACATTTGAGTCAGAACCTCCAGGTTTAAGAGCAGCTTCTGCTCTCAGGCTGTTAAACTGGTCAGACCCAGAGCAGCAAACAGATCCTGAGGCCGAGCTCCACTCCAGATCCCTGCACTGCACTTTAATGATATTCTGAACTGCTGACTCAGTCAGGACACTGTTTACTGAACAGAGTCTGTGTATAATGAGAGAGTCGAACTGAACTGAACTGTAAAGTGAAACTTCATAAATGAACTTTAAGTTGGGTTGAAAATCCAGCTAATTATGTTAAACGTTACTGTTGATGGTTGCTAAAGTGTTGCTTAGATGTTGCCATGCGGTTGCTATGGTATCCAAGGTAGTTGATAATGTGTTGTTAGGTGCTTGATGTGGTGTCCCAGGTTGTTGCTAAGGTGTTGTGAGGTGGTGGCTAAGCTAATAAATACACCGATACCTTGAATGCCCTGCTTCCTTAAATTCACTGCCTCCTTAAATCTCCTGCAACCTTAAATTTAATGATATGTTAAATCTACTGTGACCTTAAATTCACTGCCACATTAAATCCACTGCTACCTTAAGTTTTCTGCCACCTTAATTTCACTGCCACATTACATTCAGTGATACACTAAATCCAGTGCCACCTTAAATTCAGTGCCACCTTAAATTTACTGCCACTTTAAACTTACTGATACATTAAATCCATTGCCACCTTAAAGTCACTGCCACCATAAATCCACCGCCACCTTATATTCAGGGGGATTCAAGGTGGCTGAGCTAATAAATACACTGATACCTTGAATGCCCTGCTTCCTTAAAATCACTGCCTCCTTAAATCTCCTGCAACCTTAAATTTAATGATAGATTAAATCTACTGACACCTTAAATTTTCTGCCACCTTAATTTCACTGCATCATTACATTCAGTGACACACTAAATCCAGTGCCACCTTAAATTTACTGCCACTTTAAACTTACTGATACATTAAATTCACTGCCACTATAAATCCACCGCCACCTTATATTCAGGGGGATTCAAGGTGGCTGAGCTAATAAATACACTGATACCTTGAATGCCCTGCTTCCTTAAAATCACTGCCTCCTTAAATCTCCTGCGACCTTAAATTTAATGATAGATTAAATTTACTGTCACCTTAAATTCACTGCCACCTTAATTTCACTGCCACATTACATTCAGTGATACAATAAATACAGTGCCACCTTAAATTTACTGCCACTTTGAACATATTGATACATTAAATTCACTGCCACCATAAATCCACCGCCACCTTATATTCAGTGCTACCTTAAATGCAGTGTACCTTAGATCCATTATTTGTGCTGATATATGGCTGTAAGCATGTAAGTATGTGTGTACTGTGTAGGAGTGTCTGTGTCAGAGATGTACATTGGGACATCACTTGTTTTGTAGTTCTAGCTCGAGAACTACGGGCCGAGAAACATTTTATGTTTTGAGCGTAGAATAATAACGAAAAGAAAAAGATTATGAAGAACAGTAAGGTGCCAACTTAATTTATATATGTTAACTATATTTTATAAGGAAGTTTTCTTTTCTCCCAAATGACCATCATGATGTCTGTCTATCTTCTCCGTCAGTCATGTCTTCCTCCAGCAGTCTCCTGTCTGAAGATCAGCTGCTGTGCTGTATCTGTCTGGATGTGTTCACTGATCCAGTCACGACTCCATGTGGACACAACTTCTGCATGGTCTGTCTCAAAGAGTGCTGGGACAGCAGTTCACGCTGCCAGTGTCCAGTTTGTAAAGAGGAATTCTCCAGAAGGCCTGAACTGCGTGTGAACACGTTCATCTCTGGACTGGCTGCTCAGTTCAAGAAGTCAGTTCAGGTGAAATTCAGCAGAGCTCCAGAGAAACAACCCTCCAAACCTACAAAGGTTCTGTGTGACTCCTGCAGTGAGGAGGCTGTAAAGTCCTGTCTGGACTGTGGAGTATCTTACTGTGAGACTCATCTGATGCCTCATAAAACTGCAGCTAAACTCAAGAAGCACAAACTGATGGACCCTGTGGAGAACCTGGAGGACTACATCTGCCAGAAACATGAGAGACCCCTGGAGCTGTTCTGTAGAGACGACCAGACGAGTGTGTGTCAGTTCTGCACTGAGACAGACCACAAAACTCACAGCACTGTTCCTATAGAGGAGGAGATTGGAGACAAGAGGGTAAGAGACACTTACAGAGAGACTTATGAACTCCATCTAATTTTTTCTGTGATAAAAATTCTTCAAATTAACATTTTGCTTTGTCACAATGTGTCTAAATGTCACAGACTCAGCTGGTGAAGACACAGGTAGAAGTTAATCAGATGATCCAGGACCGACTGAAGAAGATTGAGGAAATCAAACACTCTGTAAAACTCAATAAAGTGAGTCTACATGATGACCTGAACTGTAGTCACTACTTTCATTCAGTTATAATACAATTTCCAGATGTTAACTGATGAAAAATACCAAAATTAATGGAATTGACTGATCTCCTGTTAGAAAAGCTCAGAGAAGGAGAAAGCAGACAGTGAGGAGGTCTTCAGAGCTCTGCTGCGCTGCATTGAGAGAAGCCAGGCGGAGCTGCTTGAGGTGATGGAGGAGAAGCAGAAAGCAGCAGAGAGGCAGGCTGAAGAGTTCATTAAAGAGCTGGAGCAGGAAATCACTGAGCTAAAGAGGAGAGACACTGAGCTGGAGCAGCTCTCCCACACTGAGGACCATCTCCACCTCCTACAGGTCAGAGTCCCTCTGTTTCTCAGTAGTAATGCAGTCCATCACAGGACAGCACTCCCCATGCTGAGGGGTTTCTCCTCTCTCCTGCTGGACTGTAGGTTTACCCGTCCCTCTGCAGCCGTCCACACACCAAGAACTGGACTGACGTCAGGATTAACACTCATCTGAGGGTGGAGACTCTGAGGAGAGCTCTGTCTCAGCTTCAGGAAGAGCTCAGTAAGGAGATGGAGAAGGTTGTGGTGATCCGTGAGTATTGCAAGGATGATCAAAAGTGTTTTTGTAGAGCGAAAATATTTCAATACGTCATTAAAATCCTGTAACAATACTGAATATTTGGTGATTTAATTGATTTATTCTGGATATTTCTCTATTAAATGTGTCCTTGGTAACACTTTACTGAAGGACAGTATTCATAAGGTTATATACCTACATAAACTCATCATGACAATTGACTTAAGCCTTCATAAACATTTATAAAGGCTTATTCCAGTAAGTGTCGTCTGCCGTGAAGGCTGTGTTTGTCAACTTTGATGTCAAGTTCACATGACAACTATGATGTTAGTCGACATTGCTTTTTTCCGACATTGGGTTGTCACGACACTTTTCTGGGTGAAATGACATAGCGCATTATAAGAGCTTTGTAGATGAATGTATTTCACAGTGTCACAATACTGATGATGTGACGTAGCTTTAATATTACAAATGGTAAAATGAAAATTTACCTAGGAGCCACAGACAGTGCTCACATGACGTGGCAAGCTATGTCATGTTATCAGCAGTATGTCACTGTGTCATACATGTGACTACAACGTCTATGTCTTCACCGCAGAAAGTGTCACTATAAGCTAATCTCAGAAAAAATATGATAACCTTACGTCATATTTGGCAAATGCAACCTTTATGACAAATGACACCTACTGGAATTAATGTTTATAAATGTTTATGTAGGCCTGGTGCAATTGGTATGAAGCCGTTATTGTTGGGTAGTGTTCATAAGGCTACATAAAGTGTTACCATGTAAATGATGTAGTACTGTATTGTACAATAATTACCTTGCCTTTCATCACAATTTACGATATTATTGTAAAAAAAAACACAAAAAAATAAACAGAGTATGCTTGAAAAGGAAAATAAACTTTATTGTTTAGTATAGCAGCACTGAGAGAATCAGTAAACAGTTAAATAAAATAAAATAAAGTAGGAAAATAAATAAGTTGTGAAATTTAAATAGCCTACAGGAAAATGAAGAGTAGGCTGTGTGTGTAATGTAGCTAGTGTTAATCACACACTGTGGCCTAATAAAAAGTGTCTTAATGTTTAGTGGTAGTTCAGCTCTGAATCTTTACCAGCTCAACCCATGTTTTGGGGGAAGATCACAGAATCCAGCGCTGACAGTTTCAGCCCAGTTCCTCCTCTGAACTACTGTTAGCTGAAGCGCTAGCTAAGTTTCTCTCCGTACTACTGTTGCTTACAGGAATACTTAGCATACTTCAGGCATCCTTCTTCATTTCTCCTGTAGCCAAAATACTTCCATACTACTGATTTTATTTTTTTTTCTTGATAGAGGGAAGTTCTGGGGTCACTCCACCTCGGCCATGCTTTAGCCCCTCTCTCTCTGTTTATGGCGAGGACAGTAACACGTGATCAAAGCGGTGGTGAGAGCTGATTAAAGCATGGCTGCTGTGTCTCTGCTCTATGGGTGAAATAGGCAGCTTTTTAAATGCAGTGACGGCGTTTTGAAGTGTCCACAGTCATGTTAAAATCACGGTATACCAGCACATGGCTAATTGTAGTTCACATGAATCAAACCTTTTACACTCAATGATGCTGTTTATTGTTTTTCCCCAAACAGAACTGAAGGAGGTTCAACACTATGCAGGTGTGTGAACTCTCATTAATCAAATAAATGTGTGTTTTTGTTATTATTATGTGCTCTACACTATTAAAACCTGTTGTTTTCTCTCTCAGTGGATGTGACTCTGGATCCTGATACAGCTCATCCTGAACTCATCCTCTCTGATGATGGGAAACGGGTCACATGTGGAAACACAAAACAGAAGCTCCCTAAAAACCCAAAGAGGTTTGACTATGATCTCTCTGTGCTGGGAAAGGAGGGGTTCTCCTCAGGGAGATTTTACTATGAGGTTCAGGTCAGCGGGAAGACTGAGTGGGATTTAGGAGTGACCTCTGAGTCCAGTAACAGGAAGGGGGATATTACAGCCAGCCCTGGATACTGGATGGTATGGCTGAGGAATGAGACTGAATTTATAGCAGCAGACTTTCTCCCTGTCCCCCTCTCCTTGAAACAGGCTCCCCAGAAGGTGGGGGTGTTTGTGGATTATGAGGAGGGTCTGGTCTCCTTCTATGATGTTAAGGCCAGGTCTCATATCTACTCTTTCACTGGTCAGTCTTTCACTGAGAAGATATATCCAGTGGTCAGTCCCTGCTACCATTTTGGAGGTAAAAATTTAAAACCACTGATTATCACACCTGTTAAACATGATAAATGAGGCTCTTTTTAACAGTAACAACAGTATGTCAGGACCAGGGTCCTTTCTGTGTGGAGTGTGGATGTTCTCCCCGTGTCTGCGTGGGTTTCCTCCCACAGCCCAAAGACATGCAGTCAGGTTGATTGGACATGCTAAATTGCCCCTAGGTGTGAGTGAATGAATGAATGTGTATGTCTGTCTGTCTGCCCTGCGATGGACTGGCGACCTGTCCAGGGTGTATCCTGCCTTCTGCCCGATGACAGCTGGGATAGGCTCCAGCACCCCACCGCGACCCAGAAGGAGAAGTGGCTAAGATTGTGTGTGTGTGTGTGATTTTTATTAGACTTATGGAAATGTGTGGCAGTAATACCGAATCATTTTAAATGTAAAAAAAAAAGTCATTATAAAGATTTTTTTTCATTATGAAATTCCAGGATTTAGGTGGTAAAACTATGTGGGTTATTTTGACCTGTCATGTGTGCATCCTAGTGTTCATTCAGCTAGAACTCATCTATCATAAGTACACTTGAGATGCAGGCCTACAGAGCGGTCTTTGTACCGGAATGTGAAAAAAGTTTTGACAAATGAGAAAACAGATCCTGAGGCCGAGCTCCACTCCAACTTCTTCTAAATATTGCTGCACGTTATACATACAAAACACATGTTAGACACACAGTCTGTTCAACAGTGCACTTCTGTATCTCCTATATCTCTGATATTATTGTCGTGTCTATTGATTGTCTTTTTGTAATTCTTGTGTGTATATATACTGCATGTGCGCTCCCTGATTAAGCTCCAGAGAAGTAGCCTGAACGTGTTTTGTTATAGTGCCCCCCCCTTCAAATATGTATAATGGCAAAATTGAATTGAACTGAAATACGTTGATATAAGTTACTACATTTCATAAGGTAACAAATGACCATCATGATGTCTGTCTGTTTCCTCCATCAGACTGTCCAGGCGCTGCGCTTACCCACTTACAAGTTCCAGCTTTTGCGATCCGTCGACATTATGTTATAAATT